GTACTATAAGGAGAGTAATGAGTTATATTGCCCAGAGACCAGGTAACGTACATGCAATAAATTCTGGTGGTTGTGACGAATGTAAGTGTAATAAAATGGATGATGTCAGAAGGAGTTCTAAGGCTTTAATGACAGTTTCAATTGAATGATCATGGTATTTGTTTCGTCAATTGATTTTCTCTCCTTTGTTCGTGTAAGCAGACATCTCACATATCACCGTGGGTCCCTGAAGTAAGGAAACATATCATCATGGGAGTAAACTAAATACAATGGTTACACGCATAAAGCATTGCATAAACTATACCTACATATCTTCCACTTTTTTAAATTTTTTCTCTCTTTTTAAAAAACATTTTAAATATTTAAAAAAACTCTTAAGATATCGACTAAAGCATGCAAACATGTTTTAAAATAATTATTAAATAAGTGTATTTGAGGTAAATAAACAAGTGTATTAAAGCTTTAAACAATTAAACATCGAACCTTTAATCCTTGCATTTGTGTCGTGTGTATTGAGTTTACACTTTTGTTTAATAAAAAAAAATAAACAAAAAACCATAGAATTCATATAGAAACCAAAACCAAAAAAGCATTTAAGAAAGTGTTTTTGTAGTTAAAATAAACCAAAAAATTAAAAAAAAATAACAATAACAACAACACAGGTGTAGAGAGCCAAGTGTTTAGTAGAAGGAAAAAAAACATCAAAATTAAACAACATTCATCAGTTTATTTTTTTTTTTGATTTCTTCAACAATTAAAAGAAAAATCTGCATGTTAATTTTTCATAATATATACCTGGAGAGAACGTATGGTATCAAGTAAAGCTTTTTTCTCTTCCAATAGTATGGTAATATCATCTTGAGCAGCTTTCAAATAGGAACGTAAAACATCAGTTTCTTGTTTGGATTTTTGTCTAAGAAAAATCGAAATAAATTTATAATTTTAGCCTTAATTAACGTTAAGAATTTTATTTTTACCTATAACTTTCTGAATTTTCTTTAGCATTTTGTAATTGTTTACGCAAATTATCATTGTCCATTTTGATTTGTTGCATTATCAATTGCAATGACAATAATTCACGATCACGTTCTCGTTCACGTTGGACTGTTGGCGGGTGTTTTTAACATGGCCGCCGTTAGGGGATTAATTGGCAATGCCAGTACCATTTAAATTTGTTTCTGAAATTGTTTTAAAGTTTGAAGGTTTTGGGGGCGTTGATTTGTTGGTCTGTTCTTACCTATAGGTTGTATGTGTAAAAGTCCAGTTTTATCACGTTTCAAATGCATACGACCGATGGCCAAATTAATGGGCACTGGTCCCGGTGAGGTAATATTAACAGGAGGTCGATCTTCAATTAAATTTATACGCACATTTTCAACAGTTACCTAAAAGAAATGTTTGGTTAAGGAATTATTAAATACAAATTTCTTATTTACATTCAAAATTCTGAAAATAAAGTAGAATATGCGAAAATTTGAAATTAAATTCGAAAATTTGGAATAAAATTTGAAAGTTTTAAATTAGAATTTTTTGAAAAACGGAAAAATTAAATTCGAAATTAGTTAGTTAGTTAGTTAGTTAGTTAGTTAGTCAGTTAGTTAGTAGTTAGTTAGTACTAGCTAACTAGCTAGCTAGTTAGTTAGTTAGTTAGTTAGTAGTTAGTTAGTAGTTAGTTAGTTAGTTAGTTAGTTAGTTAGTTAGTTAGTTAGTTAGTTAGTTAGTTAGTTAGTTAGTTAGTTAGTTCGTTAGTTAGTTAGTTAGTTAGTTAGTTAGTTAGTTAGTTAGTTAGGTTAGTTAGTTAGTTAGTTAGTTAGTAGTTTAGTTAGTTAGTTAGTTAGTTAGTTAGTTAGTTAGTTAGTTAGTTAGTTAGGTAGTTGTTAGTTAGTTAGTAGTTAGTTAGTTAGTTAGTTAGTTAGTTAGTTAGTTAGTTAGTTAGTTAGTTAGTTAGTTAGTTAGTTAGTTAGTTAGTAGTTAGTTAGTTAGTAGTTAGTTAGTTAGTTAGTTAGTTAGTTAGTTAGTTAGTTAGTTAGTTAGTTAGTTAGTTAGTTATAGTTAGTTAGTTAGTTAGTTCGTTAGTTAGTTAGTTAGTTAGTTAGTTAGTTAGTTAGTTAGTTAGTTAGTTAGTTAGTTAGTTAGTTAGTTATTTAGTTATTTAGCAAACAACTTACATTTAAGGGTTAAAATATTCGATGATATCACTTTCATCTTCCGCCAAATCGGCTAAACCAATAACCGTACTCATCGACAAATCCAAACTAATATCACTCACTCGTATGTCAGCATGATGGGAGACCCACTGTAATAAAAATGGAAAAAAAAATCAATAAAATCGTTAACCCAACAAATTAAAATGAAAACAACTCACTTCTGTATAACTTTTTTATCACCCACATGTGTAGCATCCTTGGGCGGTTTTTATGGTCTCTTCTAAGCGTAAACGTATGCAAGGCGGAGCCTCAGGATTATAAGGCGCTAAATTCCAGGCTTGCAACGGGCACCAAATTTGTTCTAGGTGCACATATAAAAAAAACAATAAGGAAAACAATAAAAAAACAAAGTAAAAATATTTATTAGTTTCTTTTCAAGTAAACTAATTATTATATTTTAAATTTAATATAAATGTTCATTTACTACTACATTTAAAGCCATAAGCAGAGCCAGAGAACATAAATTAACAACTCAATTTAAATTAGAAGGAAATTAAAATAATAAAACTTTAGAAATTATAAAAGAATTCATAATAAAACTCAAAAAATAAATGATATGAAATGTTCAAAAAATATATATATTAACATACACCAACACACACTCACACATTAAGAAAACTACAATCATACACATTTATTGAAATAAAAAACTAACAACAAATTTAAAAAGCTTTGTATTAAAAAAAGTGCAAATTTTTTTCTAATTTTAGTTTTGAAAAGTTTTATAAAATATTTTACCCAATTAAATGAATTTATGTTATTTTATGTGTTGAAATATATGTATGTATGTATGTAAGTAGTTGTGTGTATTGTGTTTATGTGTATGTTTTCTTAGCCAATTGTTTAAACAGTATCTTACCCAATTAGTTTACAAACTCAATCATTATTATTTTATAAAATTATTGATTGATTTTGTTAGAAAATATATATTTTGTCAACTAGACTTAACCAATTTTAAAATAAATTATAAACAAAATTAAATAAAAAGCGTAAAAAAAATTAATTTAAAGAAGCAAAAACTTAAAATATGTATGACAGAACAGCGTTAAGGGTTTTTTTGGAGAACTACAGTTGTATGGTTAAAATAATGTATATGCAATATTGGTATTTATGTACCCTTCACTTTGGAGGATACATATTCTGAATCCTTTTTAAAAGTTTTCTTATTGCTGTATAAAAACCCAAAATTCCAAAAACTGAGTTTTCTGACAAGAGTGCCCACTGTGACGTTATTTACAGTGTGGTAGTAAAAAATTAATAAGTATTTAAAAACATATACATATAAATAAAAATGGAGCCTTAATAAGGATCGGTGCTTTGCGTTTTTAGAACATTTTACTCAAATCTGAATTCTTCAGTTCTAGTTCAGTTCTAGTTCAGTTCGAGTTCAGTTCTAGTTCAGTTCTAGTTCAGTTCTAGTTCAGTTCTAGTTCAGTTCTAGTTCAGTTCTAGTCAGTTCTAGTTCAGTTCTAGTTCAGTTCTAGTTCAGTTCTAGTTCAGTCTAGTTCAGTTCTAGTTCAGTTCTAGTTCAGTTCTAGTTCAGTTCTAGTTCGTCTAGTTTAGTTCATTAGTCAGTTCTAGTTCAGTTCTAGTTCAGTTCTAGTTCAGTTCTAGTTCAGTTCTAGTTCAGTTCTAGTTTCAGTTCTAGTTCAGTTCTAGTTCAGTTCTAGTTCAGTTCTAGTTCAGTTCTAGTTCAGTTCTAGTTAGTTTAGTTCAGTTCTAGTTCAGTTCTAGTTCAGTTCTAGTTCAGTTTCTAGTTCAGTTCTAGTTCAGTTCGAGTTCAGTTCTAGTTCAGTTCTAGTTCAGTTCTAGTTATACCCTACACCACTTTAGTGGGGAGGGTATATTGGATTTGTGCTGATGTTTGTAACATATAAAAATATTCGTCCTAGACCCACCTTAAAGTATACCAATCGGCTTAGAATCGTTTTCTGAGTCGATTAAGCTATGTCCGTCCGTCCGTCCGTCTGGCTGGCTGGCTGGCTGGCTGGCTGGCTGTCCATGTAAACCTTGTGCGCAAGCTACAGGTCGCAATTTTCAAGATAATTGGATGAAATTTGGCACGCAAGTTTTATTTGACCCAAGGACGAAGCCTATTGAAAATGGTTAAAATCGGTCCATTATTTCACCTAGCCCCCATAGAACAGAACCCCCCGAAAGGGCTTCTGAGCTCATAATTATGTTAAATATACAGATATATCGAAATACGGCATAACTAAGTTTTATAGAAGTCTTGATAACCCTGCCAAATTTCATAAAGATCGGGCCCCATTTGACCCTAGCTCCCATACAAAGTCCCTTCAGAAAATTACTTGAATGTCCCAAATTAACTTATAAACACAAATATCGCGATGAAATTCAGCACAATAAAATATTATGTAAATATAATATATTCACAAAATTTTATCGGGCTTGGTCCATATTTGCCCCTAGCCCCCATATAAAGCCTCTTTCAGAAAATTAGTTTTTCATCCATAAATTGCTTAAATGTATCGGAACAAGGGAATATTGAAGATAAATGCGATATTATGAAAAATAAATCACATTTAATATTCATAACTGGTATAGGGTATCATATGGTCGGCCACGCCCGACTATACTTTCTTGCTTGTTCAGTTCTAGTTCAGTTCTAGTTCAGTTCTAGTTCAGTTCTAGTTCAGTTCTAGTTCAGTTCTAGTTCAGTTCTAGTTCAGTTCTAGTTCAGTTCTAATTCAGTTCTAGTTCAGTTCTAGTTCAGTTCTAGTTCAGTTCTAGTTCAGTTCTAGTTCAGTTCTAGTTCAGTTCTAGTTCAGTTCTAGTTCAGTTCTAGTTCAGTTCTAGTTCAGTTCTAGTTCTAGTTCAGTTCTAGTTCAGTTCTAGTTCAGTTCTAGTTCAGTTCCAGTTCAGTTCTAGTTCAGTTCTAGTTCAGTTCCAGTTCAGTTCTAGTTCAGTTCTAGTTCAGTTCTAGTTCAGTTCTAGTTCAGTTCTAGTTCAGTTCTAGTTCAGTTCTAGTTCAGTTCTAATTCAGTTCTAGTTCAGTTCTAGTTCAGTTCTAGTTCAGTTCTAGTTTAGTTCTAGTTCAGTTCTAGTTCAGTTCTAGTTCAGTTCTAGTTCAGTTCTAGTTCAGTTCTAGTTCAGTTCAGTTCTAGTTCAGTTCTAGTTCAGTTCTAGTTCAGTTCTAGTTCAGTTCTAGTTCAGTTCTAGTTCAGTTCTAGTTCAGTTCTCGCTCAGTTCTAGTTCAGTTCTACTTTAGTTCTTGTTTAATTCTATTTCAAATAAATAAAAATTTGATAGTTTGTAATAAAATAAATAAATTAAAAATAAAAAAATGAATACAAAATATATGTATTGATATATGTAAATGTTTACAGTTACATAATATGCGTTTATAACTAACATTAATCCTTTAAAATGCAATATACGTTTTAGTTAAAAATATTTCAAAAACTCATAACAAACTACAAAGTAAAATTAATATGCTATTCTTTTTAAAACTTTGTTAGATACTAGAATGCAAAAAAATATAAAAAAGCAGCAAATTAATTCCATAAAAATAAAACAAACAAAAAATAAAACTTTAAAACGGTAAAAAATAAATTAAAATAATAAAAAATTTGCTTATTTACAAAATAATTAAATATTTTGTTTTTAATTTATAATAATAATAAGTAATAGAATTTTTTTCAATACCTTGTTAGCTTGATGAGCATTCTGTTTAAAATTTGTTTTGTCAAAAAAGAGGCACAATATTTTTTTTGTTTGGAATTTCATTTTTTTTAATTTTTTATATGAATTTGTTGTAGTTGTTATTGTTGTTGTTGTAGTAGTGTTAAAACAAATTTACGAACATTGAAAAAAAAATATATTGAATATTTTACAAATTGTATTTTAATAATTTTGTAGAGTGATAAGAATTAAAAAAATAATAATAGAAGAAAGAAAAAATATACACAATAAACAAAAAACAATTTATTTTTTAATTTTTTTGTCAAAATAGGCACACATTGAGATTTTTCGAATAGTTTATATGTAATTTTTATGAAAGTAAATTTAGTTTTAATTCGTTACATGTTTATATTTATATGTTTAAAAAAAGGAGAGAGAAAGAGAAAAACAAATTAAACATAAAAAAAACATAACATTTTGTTTATATATTTTTTGTATATTTAACAATTATTAATAGATTTTTTTATAAATTTTAAAAAGAGTATTTTTTTACAAATTGTTTTATTTTATTTATTATTAAAAGAGAAATATTTGTTATTGCAAAACAAGTAAGAAAATTTATGATGAGTCTTTGATTTGAACATTCTTCAACAGATTTATATTCTTAGGTTTCAATATCGTCTGTTTGAATTTCTAGTTAGTTCTAGTTCAGTTCTAGTTCTAGTTCAGTTCTAGTTCCAGTTCTAGTTCAGTTCAAGTTCAGTTCTAGTTCAGTTCTAGTTCAGTTCTAGTTCAGTTCTAGTTCAGTTCTAGTTCAGTTCTAGTTCAGTTCTAGTTCAGTTCTAGTTTAGTTCTAGTTCAGTTCTAGTTCAGTTCTAGTTCAGTTCAGTTCAGTTCTAGTTCAGTTCTAGTTCAGTTCTAGTTCAGTTCTAGTTCAGTTCTAGTTCAGTTCTAGTTCAGTTCTAGTTCAGTTCTAGTTCAGTTCTAGTTCAGTTCTAGTTCAGTTCTAGTTCAGTTCTAGTCAGTTCTAGTTCAGTTCTAGTTCAGTATTCTAGTTCAGTTCTAGTTCAGTTCTAGTTCAGTTCTAGTTCAGTTCTAGTTCAGTTCTAGTTCAGTTCTAGTTCAGTTTCTAGTCAGTTCTAGTTCAGTTAGTTCAGTTCTAGTTCAGTTCTAGTTCAGTCTAGTTCAGTTCTAGTTCAGTTTCTAGTTCAGTTCTAGTTCAGTTCTAGTTCAGTTCTAGTTCAGTTCTAGTTCAGTGTTCAGTTCTAGTTCAGTTCTAGTTCAGTTCTAGTTCAGTTCTAGTTCAGTTCTAGTTCAGTTCTAGTTCAAGTTCTAGTTCAGTTCTAGTTCAGTTCTAGTTCAGTTCTAGTTCAGTTCTAGTTCAGTTCTAGTTCAGTTCTAGTTCAGTTCTAGTTCAGTTCTAGTTCAGTTCTAGTTCAGTTCTAGTTCAGTTCTAGTTCAGTTCTAGTTCAGTTCTAGTTCAGTTCTAGTTCAGTTCTAGTTCAGTTCTAGTTCAGTTCTAGTTCAGTTCTAGTTCAGTTCTAGTTCAGTTCTAGTTCAGTTCTAGTTCAGTTGTAGTTCAGTTGTAGTTCAGTTGTAGTTCAGTTGTAGTTCAGTTCTAGTTCAGTTCTAGTTCAGTTCTAGTTCAGTTCTAGTTCAGTTCTAGTTCAGTTCTAGTTCAGTTCTAGTTCAGTTCTAGTTCAGTTCTAGTTCAGTTCTAGTTCAGTTCTAGTTCAGTTCTAGTTCAGTTCTAGTTCAGTTCTAGTTCAGTTCTAGTTCAGTTCTAGTTCAGTCCTAGTTCAGTTCTAGTTCAGTACTAGTTCAGTTCTAGTTCAGTTCTAGTTCAGTTCTAGTTCAGTTCTAGTTCAGTTCTAGTTCATTAGTTCAGTTCTAGTTCAGTTCTAGTTCAGTTCTAGTTCAGTTCTAGTTCAGTTCTAGTTCAGTTCTAGTTCAGTTCTAGTTCAGTTCTAGTTCAGTTCTAGTTCAGTTCTAGTTCAGTTCTAGTTCAGTTCTAGTTCAGTTCTAGTTCAGCTCTAATTCAGTTCTATTTTAATCTCCTTAATCATAAATTTAAGACTTTGGAATAGGAAGAATATTTAGGTAGCTTTCGTACTTTTTTGTTTAAATAATTTTCTTACTTGTCTTAGCAAATAGTATAGCAGAGTTGAGAGAGAAAGAACAATTAAGAAAGAGAATTTGTTTAAAACATGCAAATCGTTTTATTTATTTTTTTATTTTTAAGCAAAACATTTATATTTTTATATAAAAAATTTAATAAAATGAAATTAATGGTTTATTTTTTGTTATTTACAATTTAAACAAAATGTAACCAAAAATCATTAACAATTTCTTTGTTCGCCAGTAAAACAGAAACAACAAAATAAAACATAAAAGTAAGAAAGTTAAGTAAAGTAAACAGAAACATGAAAACAAAAGAAGAATAAACAGAAACTATAGAATTTTTACTAACCTGTAATTCATCCCATGGTATGGCACCACATTCATCGCATTGTATGGCAGCCACTTGAACACGTAATGTGGAATTATTGCCCTCTTGTTGTCTAATTACTTCAACGGTAGTTAATCTTAAAACGAAAATAAAAATTAAATAAGAAGATTTTTAATTAAATATTGGAAATGTATACTTTCTTACCTAAAAGTAACCATTGAAACTAAATCTCTTCTCCGCCACGTACTGGCCTCTGAGGGTTCTGAGGGAGAACTAAGATTTGTTTTAATGGGTTCTTCATAAACTTCACTGGCCACTTCTACTGGTGATGCCTTTATCGTACCATCATTGGTAAAAGGATTTAAACGAAACATAACATCTATACAGTCCATTGTCTTATCATCACCCATAACAATGGCAAAATTTTCCGAATCTGAACTAATATCACTTTGTATGGAGAAAGTATCACTCATATCGTCATTAGGAGCCCTTGAGGTAATGGCTGAATCAATGGAGGTCATAAAACTGGAGAAACCTTTTTTCATGGACATGAGACCTGGAAACAATATTTATGAAATATTAAAATATTTTTTCAAATTGAAAAATATAAAAAAAAATACATACCCGAATTGATTTCCTTCGTTATACTGGGAGCATCACTAGTTGAGTTTCTCGTTGATCTATAACTTTTTGATATGGAAGACGTTACCGATTGGGTAAATACTCCAGTATCTGGTTTTGTTGAAGAGGTTTGACTAGTTGTAGAAGATGCCATCGTAGATGAACTTTGTATTTGAACATTGTATCTGAATTTGTAAAAAAAAAATAATAACATAAAAATATTAACGAGATTCACTATAAAAATAAAAATAATAATAATCTTGAAATTTCCTTAACTACATTTTACAATTCTCATTATCTATTTCTTACCCATGTGTATTTGGATTTGATAAATGTATACCATTATCATAGGGCGGTGCTTCATTTGTTACCGGCGATGGTGTTTCTACACTACCGAATGTATTGCTTTTATTTGATCTAATGGTGGTGTTGGCCATGTCATATTTGTACCTAAAACAGTGGTTTAATATACAATTTTTGTTGCTGTTTAATCATATTTTACATTTGGATATGTTGAGAGCGTGATTAAAGATCAAGTATTGATTTATTTTGTTAGTGTGAGTTTTAAGCATGTGGTGATCTAGAAATAGTTGTCCCATCCTGATCACCACTATTTTATTTGTATTTTATTAATGACTACTCTACCTAGTGCCACAATTAATTACTATTTTGAATAAAATAAATATAAAAAATGGTTAATATTTAAAATTATAAAAAGAATAAAATAATACATATTAACAAAACCTAAATTAAAGAAATAAAGGACGTAAAATAGTCTCTAAAAAGAAGTCTGATAAAATTTGCTCAAAAAGTAACAAAACTGCTACAAAAAAAAATTAAATTTAATCAAAATTATAATGTTAAACAATTTTGAACATTATCTTTTTTTTGCGAAGCTCCTCTAATATGAAACTTCAAAGTCATACTTACATATGTATGTATGAGTACGAAGTCACTGAACTGTAAACATTTTCTATAATCTTCCTTTTAATGATTACTAGGTTTCTGAACAAAGCAACCTCAACTGAACTACAACTGAACTAGAACTGAACAAAAACAGAACTATAACTGAACTAAAACTGAACTACAAACTGAACAAGAAGTGAACTACTGAACACGAAGTGAACTAGAACTGAACTAGAACTGAACTAGAACTGAACTAGAATTGAAACTAGAACTGAACTAGAACTGAACTAGAACTGAACTAGAACTGAACTAGAATTGAAAAGAACTGAACTAGAACTGAACTAGAACTGAACTAGAACTGAACTAGAACTGAACTAGAACTGAACTAGAACTGAACTAGAACTGAAACTAGAACTGAACTAGAACTGAACTAGAAGAACTAGAACTGAACTAGAACTGAACTAGAACTGAACTAGAAATGAAACTAGAAACTGAACTAGAACTGAAACTAGAACTGAACTGAACTAGAAAGAACTAGAACTGAACTAGAACTGAACTAAACTGAACTAGAACTGAATTAGAACTGAACTAGCACTGAACTAGAACTGAACTAGAACTGAACTAGAACTGAACTAGAATTGAACTAGAACTGAACTAGAACTGAACTAGAACTGAACTAGAACTGAACTAGAACTGAACTAGAACTGAACTAGAACTGAACTAGAACTGAACTAGAACTGAACTAGAACTGAACTAGAACTGAACTAGAACTGAACTAGAACTGAACTAGAACTGAACTAGAACTGAACTAGAACTGAACTAGAACTGAACTAGAACTGAAACTAGAACTGAACTAGAACTGAACTAGAACTGAACTAGAATGAACTAGAACTGAACTAGAACTGAACTGACTAGAACTGAAACTAGAACTGAACTAGAACTGAACTAGAACTGAACTAGAACTGAACTAGAACTGAACTAGAACTGAACTAGAACTGAACTAGAACTGAACTAGAACTGAACTAGAACTGAACTAGAACTGAACTAGAACTGAACTAGAACTGAACTAGAACTGAACTAGAACTGAACTAGAACTGAACTAGAACTGAACTCGAAACTGCTGAACTAGAACTGAACTAGAACTGAACTAGAACTGAAACTAGAACTGAAACTAGAACTGAACTAGAAACTGAACTAGAACTGAACTAGAACTGAACTAGAACTGAACTAGAACTGAACTAGAACTGAACTAGAACTGAACTAGAACTGAACTAGAACTGAACTAGAAACTAGAACGAACTAGAAACTGAACTAGAACTGAACTAGAAATGAACTAGAACTGAACTAGAACTGAACTAGAACTGAACTAGAACTGAACTAGAACTGAACTAGAACTGAACTAGAACTGAACTAGAACTGAACTGAACTAGAACTGAACTAGAACTGAACTAGAACTGAACTAGAACTGAACTAGAACTGAACTAGAACTGAACTAGAACTGAACTAGAACTGAACTAGAACTGAACTAGAACTGAACTAGAACTGAACTAGAACTGAACTAGAACTGAACTAGAACTGAACTAGAACTGAACTAGAACTGAACTAGAACTGAACTAGAACTGAACTAGAACTGAACTAGAACTGAACTAGACTGAACTAGAACTGAACTAGAACTGAACTAGAACTGAACTAGAACTGAACTAGAACTGAACTAGAACTGAACTAGAACTGAACTAGAACTGAACTAGAAACTGAACTAGAACTGAACTAGAACTGAACTAGAACTGAACTAGAACTGAACTAGAACTGAACTAGAACTGAACTAGAACTGAACTAGAACTGAACTAGAACTAGAACTAACTGAACTAGAACTGAACTAGAACTGAACTAGAACTGAACTAGAACTGAACTAGAACTGAACTAGAACTGAACTAGAACTGAACTAGAACTGAACTAGAACTGAACTAGAACTGAACTAGAACTGAACTAGAACTGAACTAGAACTGAACTAGAACTGAACTAGAACTGAACTAGAACTGAACTAGAACTGAACTAGAACTGAACTAGAACTGAACTAGAACTGAACTAGAACTGAACTAGAACTGAACTAGAACTGAACTAGAACTGAACTAGAACTGAACTAGAACTGAAACTAGAAATGAACTAGAACTGAACTAGAACTGAACTAGAACTGAACTAGAACTGAACTAGAACTGAACTAGAACTGAACTAGAACTGAACTAGAACTGAACTAGAACTGAACTCGAACTAAGAACTGAACTAGAACTGAACTAGAACTGAAACTAGAACTGAACTAGAACTGAAACTAGAACTGAACTAGAACTGAACTAGAACTGAACTAGAACTGAACTAGAACTGAACTAGAACTGAACTAGAACTGAACTAGAACTGAACTAGAACTAACTGAACTAGAACTGAACTAGAACTGAACTAGAACTGAACTAGAACTGAACTAGAACTGAACTAGAACTGACCTAGAACTGAACTAGAATGAACGAACTGAACTAGAACTGAAATAGACTGAACTAGAACTGAACTAGAACTGAACTAGAACTGAAACTAGAACTGAACTAGAACTGAACTAGAATGAACTAGAACTGAACTGAACTAGAACTGAACTAGAACGAACTGAACTGAAACTGAACTAGAACTGAACTAGAACTGAACTAGAACTGAACTAGAACTGAACTAGAACTGAACTAGAAACTGAACTAGAACTGAACTAGAACTGAACTAGAACTGAACTAGAACTGAACTAGAACTGAACTAGAACTGAATAGAACTGAACTAGAACTGAACTAGAACTGAACTAGAACTGAACTAGAACTGAAACTAGAACTGAACTGAACTAGAACTGAACTAGAACTGAACTAGAACTGAACACGAACTGAACTAGAACTGAACTAGAACTGAACTAGAACTGAACTAGAACTGAACTAGAACTGAACTAGAAACTGAACTAGAACTGAACTAGAACTGAACTAGAACTGAACTAGAACTGAACTAACTAAACTAGAACTGAACTGAACTGATGAACTGAACTAGAACTGAACTAGAACTGAACTAGAACTGAACTAGAACTGAACTAGAACTGAACTAGAACTGAACTAGAACTGAACTAGAACTGAACTAGAATGAACTAGAACTGAACTAGAACTGAACTAGAACTGAACTAGAACTGAACTAGAACTGAACTAGAACTGAACTAGAACTGAACTAGAACTGACTAGAACTGAACTAGAAACTGAACTAGAACTGAACTAGAACTGAACTAGAACTGAACTAGAACTGAACTAGAACTGAACTAGAACTGAACTAGAACTGAACTAGAACTGAACTAGAACTGAACTAGAACTGAACTAGAAACTGAACTAGAACTGAACTAGAACTGAACTAGAACTGAACTAGAACTGAACTAGAACTGAACTAGAACTGAACTAGAACTGACTAGAACTGAACTAGAACTGAACTAGAACTGAACTAGAACTGAACTAGAACTGAACTAGAAACTGAACTAGAACTGAACTAGAACTGAACTAGAACTGAACTAGAACTGACCTAGAACTGAACTAGAACTGAACTAGAACTGAACTAGAACTGAACTAGAACTGAACTAGAACTGAACTAGAATGAACTAGAATGAACTAGAGAACTGAACTAGAACTGAACTAGAACTGAACTAGAACTGAACTAGAACTGAACTAGAACTGAAACTAGAACTGAACTAGAACTGAACTAGAACGAACTAGAACTGAACTAGAACTGAACTAGAACTGAACTAGAACTGAACTAGAACTGAACTAGAACTGAACTAGAACTGAACTAGAACTAGAACGCATTAGAACTGAACTAGAACTGAACTAGAACTGAACTAGAACTGAACTAGAACTGAACTGAACTAGAACTGAACTAGAACTGAACTATAACTGAACTAGAACTGAACTAGAACTGAACTAGAACTGAACTAGAACTGAACTAGAACTGAAACTAGAACTGAACTAGAACTGAACTAGAACTGAACTGAAAGAAACTAGAAACTAAACTTGAACTGAACTAGAACTGAACTAGAACTGAACTAGAACTAGAGAACTAAACTGAACTGAACTAGAACTGAACTGGAACTGAACATAGAACTGACTAGAACTGAGCTAGAACTGAACTAGAACTGAACTATAACTGAACTAGAACTGAACTAGAACTGAACTAGAACTGAACTAGAACTGAACTAGAACTAAACTTAAACAGAACTAGAACTAGAACTGAACCAGAACTAAACTTAAACTGAACTAGAACTGAACCAGAACTAAACTTAAACTGAACTAGAACTGAATTGGAACTAAACTGGAACTGGAGCTGATCTAGAAAATGTTTTAACTAATGTAGCAAAATTTTGCCAAATAAAAAATCCTTTTCAACTAAATTAACCACAAATACTAATATAATCCTAATATAATAAAATTAAATGTTAACATAGAACTACTACTTCCAAAAAAAAAGAAGAAAATTAAAAAGTATTATTAAACATGCCAAATGTTATTAAATTAATATAATAATTTAATATATGGGTGCAATAAACTTAAGGAAACAACATCGAGATTCGAAATAAGAAAAATAGGGTGAATAACATTTTAGACAAATAATATTATTAAAATGAAAAACTATGGATTCTAAGAAAATTATGAAAAGATTCGGAGAAAAAAATTAAAAGAGGAGAAACAAAGAAAGAAATGAAAAATGAAAAAAGTAAAACAAAATAACACTCTTACTATTTATAAGTAAATCATCACCCAAACTAGCTGAATCAGGTAAGACACTTTCAGCATCACCACCACTTGATTCCTTACCAGGTGTAGGAGAAGGCATAACAAAAGTCACTTCAATTTGTGGTATAACACAACCGAATATTAAAGATTTTTTTGTATTTGCTAAATGAAACAAAAAAATATAAAAATTATTTTACAACAAATTGAAGTAATTGTATAATAAAAAGTAATAATTAAATATTCTTATAAGTTCATCAAACCTTTTGCAATATTCTTTCCGCATCCAGCGATAAAAATGTTGACATTTCATTAAACTCTTCAGCCATGCGCAATAGAACAACAATTGGTAATGATCAATTTGTACACTAACTAAATTTGAAATATGAGCAATGGCATGCAAATCAGCTGTACGTTCTGCAGCCTCCGAAGATGTTTGGGATTTACGTTCCACATTTATGTCCTCTTCACTATCCAGAAAAGGATTTCTAGGTAATTTTGTATTACTATTCGCATAGTCCAAACGATTGATATTCGTTTCGATGGAAGCACTGCCCGCCTTAGTGGTGGAAGCCATTGAATTTGAATCACCACTACTGCCCTTACGACTACCAGCGTTACTTTGGCTACCGGCGGAGGCTGTAGTGCCCGAACCGGAATGCAACCACAACGTAATGGGTACAGCATCCACGAATGGTATGGATTTGTGGGCGCCCAGAGAACGAGCACCCAGAAAATCTATCCAAACGGGATCTAGTTTTATGCACCAAACATCTCGAGGCTCAGACCACATAGCATAACGTGACAGACATTGTAAGGAAGATGATTTGGGTATTGAAGAACGTTGTCCGCTACCAACACCACCATTGCCATTATTTCCGGCTGCTTCGGCCGCCGTTCCCACATCTGTAGCGGCCACATGCGATAAAATACGATCCGTAACTATGCACATGTCACCGGCGGCTGAAGGAAATCCAGTACCAAATACTAAAGAACCTTCCTGTAAGGAATGTAAAGCTTGTGCCAAATCTGCACGAGATGAACCCATTTCACGTATATTGGTTAAAGCGAAGCGTGATATTTGTATCTGCATCATTTTGGGACGATCCTTTGATTCGGTGTCTCCACACTCGATTCGATAACAATGCGAGGCATAATAGCTTCAACTTTAACATCCATATACATTAGACTGGGTTCGTTTTCAGGTTCATTGTACAAGGATAATTTGGATGATCCCTTTAATGTTGTCGACTGGGAACCATGCGATCCAATGGTGGACGGCGAACCAACGGCAGCCGAACTTGTCGGTGATACCGCTGCAATACTGGTACGTAATAGCTCTCGTGCAAATTCAATGCAAATGAATTGAGCCACAGTATAGAACAGAGATCAAAGTGTACTTGGAGTGGATTGATGTGTACAAACACCTTGGACGGGGGCACTATAGAAGAGACATCATTAAGCAAGTGTAAAGTATAAGGAGAAGTTCAATATCGCTACTAATTACTTGTTGTTATAGTCATATACTTACGAGGAAATATAAAATCTCCAGGATAATAAAAATATGTAAATTCTGCATGTAAAATGGGCATTTCGGCTGGAAATGAATAACGGTCTTTGTCACCTGAAAAATTAAAGTATTTTAGTGTTAATTGAAAGTTTTTTTGGAACGAATTAACATTCAATTTGAATATTTATAACGTATAGAAACATTAAAACACTTCTTGCTACATAATTGACAACTAAAAATGTTCAAATATATATAAGTTAAATTTTCCAATTATTTCCAAACATTACAATAGTATGCTCCGCAACTTCATTGTAAAACTTTGCTAAATAAATTGCTAAATATTTTAATTTATTTTTTATTAGAAAATGGAAAATTTATAAAATCGGGCTCAAAGAAGATATAAAGTATTTCGAAAACTACATTGAAAATATTTTAAAATTTGTTCTAGTTCAATTCTAGTTCAGTTTTAGTTCAGTTCTAGTTCAGTTCTAGTTCAGTTCTAGTTCAGTTCTAGTTCTAGTTCAGTTCTAGTTCAGTTCTAGTTCAGTTCTAGTTCAGTTCTAGTTCAGTTCTAGTTCAGTTCTAGTTCAGTTCTAGTTCAGTTCTAGTTCAATTCTAGTTCAATTCTAGTTCAGTTTTAGTTCAGTTCTAGTTCAGTTCTAGTTCAGTTCTAGTTCAGTTCTAGTTCAGTTCTAGTTCAGTTCTAGTTCAGTTCTAGTTCAGTTCTAGTTCAGTTCTAGTTCAGTTCTAGTTCAGTTCTAGTTCAGTTCTAGTTCAGTTCTAGTTCAGTTCTAGTTCAGTTCTAGTTCAGTTCTAGTTCAGTTCTAGTTCAGTTCTAGTTCAGTTCTAGTTCAGTTCTAGTTCAGTTCTAGTTCAGTTCTAGTTCAGTTCTAGTTCAGTTCTAGTTCAGTTCTAGTTCAGTTCCAGTTCAGTTCTAGTTCAGTTCTAGTTCAGTTCTAGTTCAGTTCTAGTTCAGTTCTAGTTCAGTTCTAGTTCAGTTCTAGTTCAGTTCTAGTTCAGTTCTAGTTCAGTTCTAGTTCAGTTCTAGTTCAGTTCTAGTTCAGTTCTAGTTCAGTTCTAGTTCAGTTCTAGTTCAGTTCTAGTTCAGTTCTAGTTCAGTTCTAGTTCAGTTCTAGTTCAGTTCAAGTTCAGTTCTAGTTCAGTTCTAGTTCTTCTAGTTCAGTTCTAGTTCAGTTCTAGTTCAGTTCCAGTTTTCAGTTCTAGTTCAGTTCTAGTTCAGTTCTAGTTCAGTTCTAGTTCAGTTCTAGTTCAGTTCTAGTTCAGTTCTAGTTCAGTTCTAGTTCAGTTCTAGTTCAGTTCTAGTTCAGTTCTAGTTCAGTTCTAGTTCTTCTAGTTCAGTTCTAGTTCAGTTCTAGTTCAGTTCTAGTTCAGTTCTAGTTCAGTTCTAGTTCAGTTCTAGTTCAGTTCTAGTTCAGTTCTAGTGTTCTAGTTAAGTTCTAGTTCAGTTCTAGTTCAGTTCTAGTTCAGTTCTAGTTCAGTTCTAGTTCAGTTCTAGTTCAGTTCTAGTTCAGTTCTAGTTCAGTTCTAGTTCAGTTCTAGTTCATTCTAGTTCAGTTCTAGTTCAGTTCTAGTTCTTCTAGTTCAGTTCTAGTTCTTCTAGTTCAGTTCTAGTTCAGTTCTAGTTCAGTTCTAGTTCAGTTCGTTCAGTTCTAGTTCAGTTCTAGTTCAGTTCTAGTTCAGTTCTAGTTCAGTTCTAGTTCAGTTCTAGTTCAGTTCTAGTTCAGTTCTAGTTCAGTTCTAGTTTCAGTTCTAGTTCAGTTCTAGTTCAGTTCTAGTTCAGTTCTAGTTCGTTCTAGTTCAGTTCTAGTTCAGTTCTAGTTCAGTTCTAGTTCAGTTCTAGTTCAGTTCTAGTTCAGTTCTAGTTCAGTTCTAGTTCAGTTCTAGTTCAGTTCTAGTTCAGTTCTAGTTCAGTTCTAGTTCAGTTCTAGTTCAGTTCTAGTTCAGTTCTAGTTCAGTTCTAGTTCAGTTCTAGTTCAGTTCTAGTTCAGTTCTAGTTCAGTTCTAGTTCAGTTCTAGTTCAGTTCTAGTTCAGTTCTAGTTCAGTTCTAGTTCAGTCTTTCTAGTTCAGTTCTAGTTCAGTTCTAGTTCAGTTCTAGTTCAGTTCTAGTTCAGTTCTAGTTCAGTTCTAGTTCAGTTCTAGTTCAGTTCTAGTTCAGTTCTAGTTCAGTTCTAGTTCAGTTTCTAGTTCAGTTCTAGTTCAGTTCTAGTTCAGTTCTAGTTCAGTTCTAGTTCAGTTCTAGTTCAGCAGTTTCTAGTTCAGTTCTAGTTCAGTTCTAGTTCAGTTCTAGTTCAGTTCTAGTTCAGTTCTAGTTCAGTTCTTTCAGTTTCAGTTCTAGTTCAGTTCTAGTTCAGTTCTAGTTCAGTTCTAGTTCAGTTCTAGTTCAGTTCTAGTTCAGTTCTAGTTCAGTTTCTAGTTCAGTTCTAGTTCAGTTCTAGTTCAGTTCTAGTTCAGTTCTAGTTCAGTTCTAGTTCAGTTCTAGTTCAGTTCTAGTTCAGTTCTAGTTCAGTTCTAGTTCAGTTCTAGTTTCAGTTCTAGTTCAGTTCTAGTTCAGTTCTAGTTCAGTTTCTAGTTCAGTTCTAGTTCAGTTCTAGTTCAGTTCTAGTTCAGTTCTAGTTCAGTTCTAGTTCAGTTCTAGTTCAGTTCTAGTTCAGTTCTAGTTCAGTTCTAGTTCAGTTCTAGTTCAGTCTAGTTCAGTTCTAGTTCAGTTCTAGTTCAGTTCTAGTTCAGTTCTAGTTCAGTTCTAGTTCAGTTTCTAGTTCAGTTCTAGTTCAGTTCTAGTTCATTTCTAGTTCAGTTCTAGTTCAGTTCTAGTTCAGTTCTAGTTCAGTTCTAGTTCAGTTCTAGTTCAGTTCTAGTTCAGTTCTAGTTCAGTTCTAGTTCAGTTCTAGTTCAGTTCTAGTTCAGTTCTAGTTCAGTTCTAGTTCAGTTCTAGTTCAGTTCTAGTTCAGTTTCTAGTTCAGTTCTAGTTCAGTTCTAGTCAGTTTAGTTCAGTTCTAGTTCAGTTCTATTCAGTTCTAGTTCAGTTCTAGTTCAGTTCTAGTTCAGTTCTAGTTCAGTTCTAGTTCAGTTCTAGTTCAGTTCTAGTTCAGTTCTAGTTCATTTCTAGTTCAGTTCTAGTTCAGTTCTAGTTCAGTTCTAGTTCAGTTCTAGTTTCAGTTCTAGTTCAGTTCTAGTTCATTCTAGTTCAGTTCTAGTTCAGTTCTAGTTCAGTTCTAGTTCAGTTCTAGTTCAGTTCTAGTTCAGTTCTAGTTCAGTTCTCTTTCAGTTCTAGTTCAGTTCTAGTTCAGTTCTAGTTCAGTTCTAGTTCAGTTTCTAGTTCAGTTCTAGTTCAGTTCTAGTTCAGTTCTAGTTCAGTTCTAGTTCAGTTCTAGTTCAGTTCTAGTTCAGTTCTAGTTCAGTTCTAGTTTCAGTTCTAGTTCAGTTCTAGTTCAGTTCTAGTTCAGTTCTAGTTCAGTTCTAGTTCAGTTTCTAGTTCAGTTCTAGTTCAGTTCTAGTTCAGTTCTAGTTCAGTTCAGTTCAGTTCTAGTTCAGTTCTAGTTCAGTTCTAGTTCAGTTCTAGTTCAGTTCTAGTTCAGTTCTAGTTCGTTCTAGTTCAGTTCTAGTTCAGTTCTAGTTCAGTTCTAGTTCAGTTCTAGTTCAGTTTCTAGTTCAGTTCTAGTTCAGTTCTAGTTCAGTTCTAGTTCAGTTCTAGTTCAGTTCTAGTTCAGTTCTAGTTCAGTTCTAGTTCAGTTCTAGTTCAGTTCTAGTTCAGTTCTAGTTCAGTTCTAGTTCAGTTCTAGTTCAGTTCTAGTTCAGTTCTAGTTCAGTTCTAGTTCAGTTCTAGTTCAGTTCTAGTTCAGTTCTAGTTCAGTTCTAGTTCAGTTCTAGTTCAGTTCTAGTTCAGTTCTAGTTCAGTTCTAGTTCAGTTCTAGTTCAGTTCTAGTTCAGTTCTAGTTCAGTTCTAGTTCAGTTCTAGTTCAGTTCTAGTTCAGTTCTAGTTCAGTTCTAGTTCAGTTCTAGTTCAGTTCTAGTTCAGTTCTAGTTCAGTTCTAGTTCAGTTCTAGTTCAGTTCTAGTTCAGTTCTAGTTCAGTTCTAGTTCAGTTCTAGTTCAGTTCTAGTTCAGTTCTAGTTCAGTTCTAGTTCAGTTCTAGTTCAGTTCTAGTTCAGTTCTAGTTCAGTTCTAGTTCAGTTCTAGTTCAGTTCTAGTTCAGTTCTAGTTCAGTTCTAGTTCAGTTCTAGTTCAGTTCTAGTTCAGTTCTAGTTCAGTTCTAGTTCAGTTCTAGTTCAGTTCAGTTCTAGTTCAGTTCTAGTTCAGTTCTAGTTCAGTTCTAGTTCAGTTCTAGTTCAGTTCTAGTTCAGTTCTAGTTCAGTTCTAGTTCAGTTCTAGTTCAGTTTCTAGTTCAGTTCTAGTTCAGTTCTAGTTCAGTTCTAATTCAGTTCTAGTTCAGTTCTAGTTCAGTTCTAGTTCAGTTCTAGTTCAGTTTCTAGTTCAGTTCTAGTTCAGTTCTAGTTCAGTTCTAGTTCAGTTCTAGTTCAGTTCTAGTTCAGTTCTAGTTCAGTTTAGTTCAGTTCTAGTTCAGTTCTAGTTCAGTTCTAGTTCAGTTCTAGTTCAGTTCTAGTTCAGTTCTAGTTCAGTTCTAGTTCAGTTCTAGTTCAGTTCTAGTTCAGTTCTAGTTCAGTTCTAGTTCAGTTCTAGTTCAGTTCTAGTTCAGTTCTAGTTCAGTTCTAGTTCAGTTCTAGTTCAGTTCTAGTTCAGTTCTAGTTCAGTTCTAGTTCAGTTCTAGTTCAGTTCTAGTTCAGTTCTAGTTCAGTTCTAGTTCAGTTCTAGTTCAGTTCTAGTTCAGTTCTAGTTCAGTTCTAGTTCAGTTCTAGTCAGTTCTAGTCAGTTTAGTTCAGGTTCTAGTTCAGTTCTAGTTCAGTTCTAGTTCAGTTTAGTTCAGTTCTAGTTTCAGTTCTAGTTCAGTTCTAGTCAGTTCTAGTTCAGTTTCTAGTTCCTAGTCAGTTCTAGTTCAGTTCTAGTTCAGTTCTAGTTCAGTTCAGTTCAGTTCTAGTTCAGTTCTAGTTCAGTTCTCGTTCAGTTCTAGTTCAGTTCTAGTTCAGTTCTAGTTCAGTTCTAGTTCAGTTCTAGTTCAGTTCTAGTTCAGTTCTAGTTCAGTTCTAGTTCAGTTCTAGTTCAGTTCTAGTTCAGTTCTAGTTCAGTTCTAGTTCAGTTCTAGTTCAGTTCTAGTTCAGTTCTAGTTCAGTTCTAGTTCAGTTCAGTTCTAGTCTAGTTCAGTCTCGTTCAGTTCTAGGTTCAGTCTAGTTCAGTTCTAGTTTCAGTTCCAGTTTCAGTTCTAGTTCAGTTATAATTCAGTTCTAGTTCAGTTTTAGTCTATTTTCATACTCATTTATATCAGATTATACTCCAGTTCTAATTCTCTTCTCATCCAGTTGAAGTTCAGTTTTTATGATAAAGAGGTCTTTGATGATAAAAAGCAAAAATGTTAGTAACGTATTTGCTATTTTTAATAAAATACAAAGAGGATTTCCACTTCCAAGTCATACAAAGTTTTATTTGAACTCTAATAGACTACAACTGTAAGCCTTAAATAATGTGAAATCTGATAAGCAAAGCTTTTCTGTTTAATTTTCCATGTGTCCTGTTCATATCGTTGTAACAAAGCTTAAAAAAACCCTATGATAATTTTCTAACCAGAGAAAAACTTAATTATATTCAAAAACATGTAAAAAACAAGAATTTAAATGCATTTAAAATAAAATAACAAGATAAAAATTGCATGCAATACAGTTAAGTTTTTTGCAAAAAAAAATTTTCTACAAAAAATTTAAAAATAGACTATTACTAGTAAGAGACAAAGAACTAAAATATGCAAATCACCTGGTTTTATTTTCCTTTTATGTTGTGCTATAAATGCAATTTTAGTTTTTTTTTTATTTTTGTTTTTATATATATTTTTTTATATAAACGAAGCATTAGAACGATACCGTGGACGTTGACATAAATTGTTGTTTAAATTATGACATAAAATGTCAATAAATATTTTTGCAAAACAGAAAAATGTCAGCAGGTTTATTTAAGCGCATAAATATTGTAGTTTTTTTTATTTGTACGCAAACATATATGTATGTATGTGAAGCATGGGGAATAAAAAATATTAATGGGCGAGTTGAGAGAAAAAAGCCATAAAAATATACAGAATAGAAGAAATAATGGAAATAGAAATTATCATACAATTATTAGTATACAGGTGACAATATATGAATGTGTAGTTGAATGTAAAGACATTTGTTAATAAGTCATTTAGCACATAGTTTAAAACAAAGATTTTTTCTTTACAATATAATTAGCTAGAGGTATGATGTTGTAAATATACATATTTGCCAGCTTACCTGATACAAACTCTTTGGGCATTTGTTTTTTACCCGATGTCGTTACACGATACAACTGAAAATCCTCGATACGTAATATCACACAAGAAGACATTAATTTCGATAAATTATCGAGTATTGTTTTTTGCTGCTGGGTATGATGACTATGATGACTACCTCCAGACGAAGCTCCTGAACCAACATTACTAGCCATTTGTGTGGGTGTACTACTGCCAGTCGAAGAAGTATTTGTGGTTTTACTGGTAGCATATTGTGTTGCTAAAGCTGAGGGATTTAGAGTTACGGGCGAATTGGGTGTACTGCGTTCGAGGGGAGCATGAGAGGAAGGACGATTTGGTTGACTTAGATTTAGTACAGCTTCACGAAATGCATTGAGCGATTCTTTTAGCCAGAGAGCGGGAGATACTGAAGCTTCTTTATATCTGTAATAGTAAAAGGAATTTTATATCTATTGGGAAAGTGTCGGAGTTTTTAGTAAAACATACTTGGCCCAATGAGATCTATCGGATTTGGCTAAATGATAGGGATAGTAATCCACTTGAAAAGCTTGTACTGAAATTTGTAGAGCACCACCTTTATCCAATTCTGGATAAGTAGAACGACCATCTGAAATAGAAGTTTAAACATTTTGTATATAGTATTGACTATAGACAGACTATAGTCTCGACTATAGGCAGACTATAGTCTCGACTATAGGCAGACTATATTCTCAACTATAGACAAACTATAGGCAGACTATAGTTGAGACTATAGACACACTATGGTCTCGACTATAGAAAGACTATAGCTGAGATTACAGTCTGTCTATAGTCTCGACTATAGACAAACTATAGTCACGGCTAAACACAGACAATAGTGTCGACTATAGGAGGGCTATATTCTCAGCTATAGACAGACTATACTCTTGACTATAGGCAGACTATAGTTGAGACTATAGGCAGACTATAGTTGAGACTATAGACAGACTATAGTTGAGACTATAGGCAGACTATAGTTGAGACTGTAGACAAACTATAGTCTCGACTATAAACAGACTATAGTTTTGACGATAGTCTACAGACTATAGTCTCGACTATAGACAAACTATATTCTCAACTATATACACACTACAGTTCCAACTACAGACAGACTATAGTCTCGACTATGGACAGATTATAGTCTCGACTATAGGCAGACTTTATTTTCAACTATAGACAAACTATAGTCTCAACTATAGACAGACTATAGCTGAGACTACAGTCTGTCTATAGTTGAGAATATAGACAAACTATAGTCACGACTATAGACAGATTATAGTCTCGACTATATACAGACTATAGTCACGACTATAGACAGACTATAGTCTCAACTATAGGCAGACTATAGTCTTAACTATAGGCAGACTATAGTCTCAACTATAGACAGAATATAGTCTCAACTGTAGTCAGACTATAGTCTCGACTATAGACCGATTATAGTCTCGACTATAAACAGACTACAGTCCCAACTACAGACAGACTATAGTCTCGAATATGGACAAACTACAGTCTCGACTATACACAGAATATAATATTGACTGTAAACACACCATACACAGACTATAGTCAAGAATTTAAACATATTATATTCTTGACTCTAAACTGACTTTATTCCCTCTTGGATTTTGTAATTTAATTTCGAATTTTATAAGATCTCTAATATAGTACCCACCTCCTTCATCATCACACAAATGCAAATCAATACGTTGACTAAAAAAATGATACGAAGTTTCTCTCACATCGAAAGCATTAAACATTTTTAGCTGATTATTCGCATGAGACGATTCACTTTGGCGATTTTGCTGTTGCGCCAATTGGGCCTGATACTCGGGTAGAGTCTAAAATTAAAGGGACAACATTTATAAAATTTTAATATTTCCCAACATTTTAAGTTAATTCTACCTCTAATTTTCTGGCAGCTTTTGATTTTTGTGTTGCCGCCGTAGCCGATTTAATAAGACCCGACAGCGAATCGACAAAATGTAAAGCTGCTTTCAATTGAGAGTCCGTTAGCACCCACAGTAGATCGTCTAAAATTAAAACTAAACGTGAAGCTAATAAAGTACAATCCGACAAACGTTTTCGTATGGTTATGCGACATCGTGCATGATTGGTAAGTAAACGTAGGGGTGTTAATGATTTATCCTGAGTAGAGCTGGCCTCAATGCGTACCGTTTGCCATGATAATTCTTTGAATATCAATATAATACCACGATGGGTGTCTTTGAGACGGGTAAAACGTAAATCACCATTGGCCCATTTGGGAGTCTTGGACTCAACTCGTATGCGTGACATCTATTAAAAGAAGAAATTAATAAGTTATTGTACAAAAATATGTATATTTCATTCAAATAACTAACCTGCACCGAGGCTGTAAAGGCGGTACTTAAAAATTTTACATTAACAGTATTAACAATAATGGTTATGCCATCAACAACTTTATGTATAAAACTATATTTGCCCTGAGGAGCCTGCGGTAATGAACCTCCTCCTGCACTCCCTCCTCCACCACTCCCAACACCATTTGGTGATTTGTTATCTGCACTACGTGAAGTGGGGTCACATGTTTCCACCGTTATATTGACCTCATCTAGAGTCTGAAGAAAATTTTATATATTCTCATAAAAAAAATACTTTAAAATTAATTTTATGGCCTTACCAGCGTTATAGGAACACTTTTTAATTTTGTCCAGCTTATACGAAAAGATACATGATTACACCACGCCGATGTTAAACGTAACCATGAAGGCAACTCCAATAATTCGGTGAGCACAGCTTCATCCAATTGTAAATTAGATAATTCACCTTCACCACGAAAGGTACTTAAATTTATTTTATCTGATGATAGATTTTTTGTGTAACTGTAAAGAGAATCAGAGGGGAATATTACAATTAATAATACTTGAATAGTTGTATGTGTATTTTTATAACAATTGTATTTCCTCTCATATTGAGGGGTTTCTAGTGTCTGTAGTGTTTTTGTTGTTTTTAAATATTTTGGTCACATTATTTGACCCCTATGGTTTATTTTATCTTTTGTTGCTTTTGTTTTTAAAAATATCAATGTAATGAAAGCATTGTTGAACGTTTAATATGTATATCAGTTACCTAAAGGAATTTTTTGACTGTATACAAGACTATTGACTAGAATATAGACTAGTCTATGGAAAAGGCTATAGACTATACTATAGGCAAGACTATATACTAGACTATAGTGTAAACTATAGAATATAATATAGATTATACTATAGACTAGACTGTAAACTAGACAACAGACTAAATTTTAGGCTAGACTATGGCTAGATTATAGACTATACTATAGACTAGAGTAGACTAGATTAAACTAAACTATACTATACTATAGACTAGACTATAAATTATATTATAGCCTAGACTATTCACTATACTAGACTATAGACTAGACTGTAGACTATACTATAGACTAGACTAGAGACTAGACTATATTCTAGACTAGAGACTAGACTATATTCTAGACTAGACTAGACTATAGACTAACTAGACTAGACTATAGACTAGACTATAGACTAGACTATAGACTAGACTATAGACTAGACTATAGACTAGACTATAGACTAGACTATAGACTAGACTATAGACTAGACTATAGACTAGACCATAGACTAGACTATAGACTAGACTATAGACTAGACCATAGACTAGACTATAGACTAGACTATAGACTAGACTATAGACTAGACTATAGACTATACTATAGACTAGACTATAGACTATACTATAGACTAGGCTATAGACTAGACTATAGACTAGACTATAGACTAGACTATAGACTAGACTATAGACTAGACTATAGACTAGACTAGACTATAGACTAGACTATAGACTAGACTATAGACTAGACTATAGACTAGACTAGACTAGACTATAGACTAGACTATAGACTAGACTATAGACTAGACTATAGACTAGACTATAGACTAGACTATAGACTAGACTATAGACTAGACTATAGACTAGACTATAGACTAGACTATAGACTAGACTATAGACTAGACTATAGACTAGACTATAGACTAGACTATAGACTAGACTATAGACTAGACTATAGACTAGACTATAGACTAGACTATAGACTAGACTATAGATAGACTAGACTAGACTAGACTAGACTATAGACTAGACTATAGACTAGACTATAGACTAGACTATAGACTAGACTATAGACTAGACTATAGACTAGACTATAGACTAGACTATAGACTAGACTATAGACTAGACTATAGACTAGACTATAGACTAGACTATAGACTAGACTATAGACTAGACTATAGACTAGACTATAGACTAGACTATAGACTAGACTATAGACTAGACTATAGACTAGACTATAGACTAGACTATAGACTAGACTATAGACTAGACTATAGACTAGACTATAGACTAGACTATAGACTAGACTATAGACTAGACTATAGACTAGACTATAGACTAGACTATAGACTAGACTATAGACTAGACTATAGACTAGACTATAGACTAGACTAGACTAGACTATAGACTAGACTATAGACTAGACTATAGACTAGACTAGACTATAGACTAGACTATAGACTAGACTATAGACTAGACTATAGACTAGACTATGGACTAGACTATAGACTAGACTATAGACTAGACTATAGACTAGACCATAGACTATGACTATAGACTAGACTATAGACTAGACTATAGACTAGACTATAGACTAGACTATAGACTAGACTATAGACTAGACTATAGACTAGACTATAGACTAGACTATAGACTAGACTATAGACTAGACTATAGACTAGACTATAGATAGACATAGACTAGACTATAGACTAGACTATAGACTAGACTATAGACTAGACTATTAGTACTAGACTATAGACTAGACTATACACTAGAATATAGACTAGACTATAGAAGACTATAGACTAGATATAGACTAGACTATAGACTAGACTATAGACTAGACTATAGACTAGACTATAGACTAGACTATTAGACTAGACTATAGACTAGACTATAGACTAGACTATAGACTAGACTCATAGACTATAGACTAGACTATAGACTAGTCTATAGAGACTATAGACTAGACTATAGACTAGACTAGACTAGACTATAGACTAGACTATAGACTAGACTATAGACTAGACTATAGACTAGACTATAGACTAGACTATAGACTAGACTATAGACTAGACTATAGACTAGACTATAGACTAGACTATAGACTAGACTATAGACTAAACTATAGACTAGACTATAGACTAGACTATAGACTAGACTATAGACTAGACTATAGACTAGACTATAGACTAGACTATAGACTAGACTATAGACTAGACTATAGACTAGACTATAGACTAGACTATAGACTAGACTATAGACTAGAATATAGACTAGACTATAGTCTAGACTATAGACTAGACTATAGACTAGACTATAGACTAGACTATAGACTAGACTATAGACTAGACTATAGACTAGACTATAGACTAGACTATAGACTAGACTATAGACTAGACTATAGACTAGACTATAGACACTATAGACTAGACTATAGACTAGACTATAGACTAGACTATAGACTAGACTATAGACTAGACTATAGACTAGACTATAGACTAGACTATAGACTAGACTATAGACTAGACTATAGACTAGACTATAGACTAGACTATAGACTAGACTATAGACTAGACTATAGAATATAGACTAGACTATAGAATATAGACTAGACTATAGAATATAGACTAGACTAGACTATAGAATATAGACTATAGAATATAGACTAGACTATAGACTAGACTATAGACTAGACTATAGACTAGACTATAGACTAGACTATAGACTAGACTATAGACTAGACTATAGACTAGACTATAGACTAGACTATAGACTAGACTACAGACTAGACTATAGACTAGACTATAGACTAGACTATAGACTAGACTATAGACTAGACTATAGACTAGACTATAGACTAGACTATAGACTAGACTATAGGCTAGACTATAGACTAGACTAGACTATATACTAGACTATAGACTAGGCTATAGACTAGACTATAGACTAGACTATAGACTAGACTAGACTAGACTATTGACTAGACTATAGACTAGACTATAGACTAGACTATCGACTAGACTATAGACTAGACTATAGACTAGACTATAGACTAGACTATAGACTAGACTATAGACTAGATTATATACTAGACTATAGACTAGACTATATATATAGGCAATAGTCTCGGATACAAACAGGCTATAGTCCCAACTATAGACAGACTATATTCTCGAATATAAATAAATTCTTGGGATAATTGAGACTATAGTCTCGACTATAGAGAGATTATAGTCTTGACTATAGACAAACTATCGTCTCGACAATGAATAGACTATAGAAAGACTATATTTGTGACTATAGATTCGGTTATAAACAGACAATGGTCTCGACTATAAACAGCTTATGAAAAGACTGTAGACAGACTATAGAAATACTATAGTTTCGGACATAAACATACTATAATATCGATAATAGACATATTATAGTCTCGTCTATAAACAGACTACAGTCTTAGACTTCAGTCTGGACTATAAACAGACTAAAGTCTCGACTATAAGTAGACTATAGAAAGATAATAGACAGACTATTAAAAACTATAGTTTCAACTTTAATCTTGGATATAAACAGACTATAGTCTCGACTATTATCAAACTATAAACAGACTATAGCCTCGACTATTAATAAACTATAGCCTTGACTATAGACACACTATATTCTCGACTATAGACTTGTCTTTTAACTGGACTAGAGACTATACACAATATGTGTAAAATTAAAAGTATATTTATTTTATAAATGCTTTATTTTAAACAACTGTCGCTTATCGGTGACAGTTTAACGTTGCATTGATTGAGTTTTAAATTGAGCATAAAACTAAACACGAGAGTTCAGTTTTATTATTATTTTTTTTTTTTTATTTTTTTTTTTTTTTTAATTAGATTTTTGTGTGATTTTACAGAGTTGATGGGATTTATTGTTTTTGCACAACATTCATTCATTGACCCTTGATTATGGATACAAAAATCAAAATAAATAAAATATTTTAATTTTAGTAGAGTATTTAAAAAAAACTAAAGCATTTTATAATAAAGTTTAAAGGAAAGAAAATTTTTAATAATGTTCTAATCAATTCTTTTTAAAACATTTTCAACAATTTGGGCTAATAATTGTGGTTTTAATATATTTTTTAATATTTTTTATATAAATTTTTTAATGTTTACATTAGGAAGAAAACAAATATTTATTATTAGCTTTTATTTAACTGTATTTTCTACTGTGCAAAGTTTTAATTATTTAAATGTTTTTATTGTTCTTTTTTTTTGGGTTACCCAATATTAAATATTTAAAACTTTTTAACATTAATAACATGTCGTTCTAAGGATTTATTTGCTTTTAAATTCTGTAAATATAAGACTACTCTATCTATCTCTGCTTCAACTGGGTCTTGGTATGACTTTACTACATAGATATATACTGTGATGGTGTATGTATTTTATATTCATAGACATAACGTTATTTATATACAAAAATATTTTATAAACTGTTGTATTTTTCTATTTTACATACAAAAATAAAAAGCCTTTAAAGTACATACATATGTACATACTTACACACTATGTACTATATGTATGTGTTTGTTTATTTAAGTTTGTATTTGTTTACAACGTCACTTGAATTTTTACTCCAAGTACGAGGAGCTTAAAGTAACACTACTACGGGGTATATAGTATAAACATTGGCGCATATTTAAACATGACCTTAAAGCTATATTTACTAAATTTATACATTAGAGTGTTCCTTTTCTTAAGAAATTCTAATATACA